GACATGAAAATAAAAATTTTCAGATAATTCTGTTCTTAACTACATTGAAACAGAGCCATGTCATCATGCTGCCTGCCACTTAGCCGTTTTCAGGGACAGATTACTAATTATGCAAAGTCTTCAGCAGCTGGGGGTGCCATAAGTAAAAGTACTAGTAAGTTTAGTAACCAAATCATATTTGTAATAAAAGACACCATTCCTTGTCTAACTCCTGAAGCCGTAAACAGTGTGGGTACAAAATCTCGGAATCTAACCAATCTTCCTCCTTTTTTAATGTGCTTCTGGACATAGGCGTTTATGGCTCTCCACAAACTTCTATCCTTTGTAAGGTTAGTCTTTTTACTATTGCTCACAGTCCTTGTTCTGCCATCCATTTACACAAGCCCATTAAGTAGGTTACTATCCACTTTCCTCTGTCCCACTTGTTTCAATGTCCTGTGAATGCCGAATTCTCCAAGCCCTCTTTCTTCATTATGTGTTCTAGAAATTTCAGTTGTCACTTTCTAAGTTTTAGCGTCCTTTTTATTTCCATTATCCTTAAAGCATCTGTAACGTTTCATTCATGTTATTCTTGGTATCCGTCTGTAGAAACATTTTTCAATTGCCACAAATCTCTTCATCTATAAGGAGATTGCCCAGTTATATAGAAGGACTGATATTGCATAGCATTCCAGCACTCTTTGTTTCTAGTGAATTGCAAATGGAAATACAGTAAATTAAATTTTCTATTAAATTGGGAAACACACATTGTAACAATTCATGCAACCAAATGTTTTCAAATGCCTTACAACATGTGGGGCATCTCCATGATATCCTGTGTTGTGTAACAGGGATTATTTGTAATCATCATTTCAATTTGACCCTCCTCAGTGACTACAGGCCTGCTAGAACATTTTTGATCTGGAAGATCAAAATTTACACTTCTGAATGTAGCAAATCATTAAAAAAAAATTGTAAAGAGTCAGCTGTGGCAGCATCCCCATAAACAGCACATATCTTTTTTACTGTTTTTATGATTTTTTTTTTCCAATTTTTAAGGTAAAAACAATTAAAATTTATAATCCTCACAGGAATCATATACAGAGTATGGCATAAATACTGTTACAAAAGAAAAATCTCATAACTCCTGAAAAATTTATGATATCAGCCAACAATTTTAACACAACATAATCTTTAATCTGTTAAATAAGACCAGAAAATATGGTTCCCTTTAACCTTCACCATGCGTCAAAGTCTTTCAGGAAAGTCACTGATAGCGGTATACAGAGTTTCTATGGGTATTTTGTCCCCTACTCTCTTCAATTTTTTCTTCAGAGCTTCAATATTGAGTTGAGGAATTGAACAGACATTACTCTCAAGAACAATACTCAAGAGCATTGATATCTGGTGATGAGGGAGGCCATTCATCCTTGTTGAGAAAGCCAGGACAACTGTCTCTGCACCACTGCTGCTACACAAGCAGTATGACTTGTCAATCCATCTTGTTGAAGTGTCCACTGTTCATCACCATTACAGGTTGAGTTCACCTTCCAAGATGTCCCCTATATACACTTCCTTATTGATTTTTACCTCTTGAGGCACAAAAATAAGCAGAGACTTTCCTCTTTCTGAAATGGCTGCCCAAATCATAACTGATGCCGGTTTTTGAGGCATTTTCCGAAAGTGGCAGGTATTGATGACATGTTGAAAGAACACAAGCATTTTGGTGATTAAAAGTCTGTTCAACAGTAAATAGTTTCTCATCAGTGAAGATGATGATTTGCAGCATGTCATGGCAGATTTGCTTCAGCAACTGCTTACTTCTTCAAAGCCACTTTTTCCATTGTAGATACTGAAAGAAGCTGCCTCTTGGTTATCTTGTAGGGCGACATCCCTAGATCATTTTGACATAACATCCGTAGTTCTCTCTGATATTCTAGCCTCCTCAATCAATTTTCTCATTGACCTTCTTGGATTATACATGATTTTTTTCTCACACTTGTTTAATAAGTTCTGATATTCTGGAAGTACAATGATATCTTGGTCTCAGTCTATCGTTGATGGAGTAAATCTCATTGTATTAAAGGATTGTCCTTTTGATAAACGTTCCATTGATTCCAAGTTGTTTTCCAGCTTTAAAAATCTGAGGAGGAGTTAATTTGTTTTCATGTTGCTCAATTATATATTTTATTTTAATTTCTATAGACATTGTTGCCAGTAAAAGCTAAAACACTTTGAAAAAAAAAAAAAATCAAATACACGTTGTTGTACAAGTTACCAAACCATAAACAAGAGTGTAATGACCAAAAATTTAGAAGTAGAATTCATTTGAAATTTTGTATCAGCATTTATGCCACACCTTGTATTGAAATGTCACTTTTCAGAATATGTATGTCATAAACTTCCATCACGTGTGCTATGAAATCATATATTCAAACGCTACCTATTAAAAAAAATAATGCTACAAACTTTTGTTCCAACTGAATATTATAACTAAATAGTTTTAGTTACATGACAGGGGTATTGTTAAGAGAATTTATTTTTTATGAATTAAACTTCTCTGAGTTCTGGGTTATTTGATGTGGCCAGATGACCTTACAAAGTGGACGTCCTTCATCCAGGTATGCATATTCATTGGCTGGCACCAAAATTGAGTGAGTTGGCTTACTAAGTCAGTTGTTACAGAAATCTGCTTCAGAGCAATCTAATTACTACTATTCGCAACTACTAACGGAAGTTATTTTAAAGTATTTTTAATTTCAATGTTTCTTCCTTTCTCATAATCACTAAAAGTATAATAAAACCTTCTTCTTGTTTACTATAAAACTTAGTTGGTCTTCTTTCATTCCCTTTACTTCTCTTTATCTTATTTCTTTTGTTTGCACACACGACAGATATTCAGAATGCAACTTGACTAATTATGAAATTTTCACTTGCTATCGACATTGCTAGATCATTTTGCCATAACATCTGCAGTTCTCTCTGATATTCTAGCCTCCTCAATCAATTTTCTCATTGATCTTCTTGGATTATACATGATTTTTTTCTCACACTTGTTTAATAAGTTCTGATATTATGGAAGTACAATGATATCTTGGTCTCAGTCTATCTTTGATGGAGTAAATCTCATTGTATTAAAGGATTGTCCTTTTGATAAATGTTCTATTGATTCCAAGTTGTTTTTCAGCTTTAAAAATCTAAGGAGGAGTCAGTCTGTTTTCATGTTGCTCAATTATATACTTTATTTTAATTTCTATAGACATTGTTGCCAGTAACACTTTGAAAAACATTTTTTGATGGTTTGGCAAATACATTACAGTATTAATAATGGAGCTTCAAGATGAAGACTAAGTTGCTCTCTCTCTCTCTCTCTCTCTCTGATTTTATGTTAATTAAAATAGATTTAGTGATATTCTGGGATCTGTCACAGCAACTGGACATTCAAATATTTTTGATATTTCAGGATGGATGTGTGGATAGTGTAACAGTTATTGGCATGAAAAGTTATCAGAGTTCAAATTCCTGTCTAGTCTATTGCATTCATTAATGCTCTTGGAGGAGGCATAAATCTGCCAGTTATAGAGAGTAGGATAGAACAAGTCCTTGCAAAGGAATAGCCTGAATTCAAAACCATAAAGATGACAAAAGGAAACTCTGTAAGTCGGTGGTTCTCGAACTTTTTGAAGTCAGGACGCACTTGAAATCCTAACAATAAATTGTAGGCATACTATATAGAAATTCCAGAAAAATATGTTATAATGAAGTCAAATATTGCAAAAAAGAAATAATGCAATAAAATGATATAAAATAAAACATACTTTAAGTTTATTCATTCTTGTGTTTATGAGAAACATGAGCCTGATCAGTCTTAGGGATTTCTTTAATGTCTGGGAGTATATATGATAGGCAAACTCTCATTTCCCCGTCAATACATTGAAGAGTTCCTCTCTTTTTGCACTTGTGGTGAGAGCAGAAAAAGCCTAATTTGCATAAAGTGTATAATAAAGTGATATAATAAAGTGTAGTGAAAGAGATAATCAGGTACCCCCCAAAAAAGTTTGTTTTGTGTGCGATCTGTCAAAGAAAAATTACCAAAAAGTAGTCAGCAAAAATCTACATCAATGACTAGAAGCTATGCTAATGTTCTTCCCTCCTCTGAATGGCGTGACCAATCAAAAAATTCTCTCGGTGAACAGAAGTCGTTTTTTGCTTATAAAAGGAGATGATTTTTTTGAGCTGTGAGACGAACATGCGTTGTTGTTGGCGAGAAGTGAAGATTGGATTTGTGACCCCATTTTGTCCTCTCTACGGTGTGTGTTGGACTGTTACGTCGGACTGTCGTGTGAACTGCGATTTGGCTACAAGTGTTGCGGCCAAGAAACAAGAAATCTATTGTTGTTGCTACGATCAGTTGACAGTCTTTTCTTTACCCCAACATAAAGTAAATATATTTCTTATATCTGGACACATTTCTCTGGAATGCCATGGTGCACCTAAACATCTTCCAGGGCGTACCAGTGCACCCAGGTACACAATTTGAAAACCACCGCTATAAGTCATGGCAATTAATAGATAATAATAAATGAAATCTGTGGAGAACTGTGATCTTCTGAAAGGAGATGGCATTTAAAAAAAAAAAATTCATCCATTCAGCTTCTGAGTCATCTTCCTTTATCAGTGACATAATTGGAGGCTGTTTCTTACTTGCTAAAGAAAAAGGAATGTTCAGTCTCCGTTATCAATATTTCAAGTGTTTGAGTCACCCGGTGAGTTGGAGCCAAACCCAAATGAAGATCAACTGAAATGATCAAAGAAGAATTAAGACTGGAGAGAGAAATATTAGAACAAATAAATTTTTAATTGCGTATAAAATCAGTCTTTGCTTTTGTTGTTTATTTCAATATTAAAAACAGTCATCTTGATTGATGTGACTCTCAAAGACAACAGAAAAGCAGAGTCCAAAACTTACCCACCTTCCCAAACCCCAACCAATTCCCTCCTAACAAAGAAAACATTATTTCTCAAGTCTTTGGCTGACATTTTACTTTTTCTATCTGTTTCTCTCGGTGCCGTTCTAAGAATTTCTTGAATGATTCATGTTCTCTTTGTTCTTCTTCGTCTGCAAAAGGAAAAAGAAAAATTAGAAATGAGAAATATAAATCAGTCATAATGAAAGGTGGGCTATATTTGGAATCTGTTTCTATAATGTACCAAAATCTATTGTGGGTTGAGTTTGTAGAGGCTTCCATACATTTGATATGGTGAATGAGCAGAATGTTAAAAGAAACAAGTTCAAGATATAAAGTAATTAGTACAATGCCTTGGCCAGATTCAATCATTAACCACTTAGCATTCAACATGCTCAAAACCATCCCTTAAATATCAACTCTCAGTGTTTTACTGTGTAACTTCCTGTGTTATTTGCAATGCTGCTGTCATATATTATACATGGGGTGGGTTACGGTGTGTTGAACATTGGGAGCTGATATTTACAGGGCAGTTTGAATGTTAAAGGGTTAATATAACCCTATTAAAACAATATTACAAGTTGACCCTTGAATCCTGGCAAGTTGATTGATAAAACCAGCCAAGGCAGGCTATTTGGTTGTTTTGGTAAAATTCTGCAGAATAGGAAGATTAAATCCTAAAAAACATTTTTATTTTCAAAGCAAAATAAATTGAGTAAAAACCTTAAGAAGCCTTGGGGCTGGTTTGGGAAAGACATATCAAAGATTATTTTCGGAATCTTGTTTTGGTGAAGAAAGAAGGAAAAGAAACTTTAGATAGTATTGAAGTTATCATGAGGACATTATATATGTTCCATCGTCAGAGGTGATTAGTGGATACAAGCTCACACTGTCTATAAAATGCTTCCATGGCATGCATCCTCTGGCAATTAAGTCTGGTTACAAGCTGGAAAAATGGGTGAAAACAGAAATCTGGCACTTCATAACCAGTTGCTTTGGAAAGTAGTCCATCTAAGGGAAGGAAAATCCTGATTTTAAAACTCCGCTGCTTTGTGGTTATATCCAAATACGGAAAAGGCTATGGACGTAAATCCAGACAGAAAATCCAGATTGGATCCCTGAAGGTATTTGGTATTTGACACATCAGTGTCAAAAGCCAACCACTCCTGCAGCCAAGACGACAGCAAATGTAATATCCTGTATTTCTTTGGATTGTGTCAGTACAGCCGAAATGCGGATGGGGCACATAATCTGGGTAGCATATGGCCTTCATATACTATCATGCAGACCTGTGCCTTGGAGAAATCAATCCAGTTTCACCAGCGAAAGACTGAATTTTGACCAGAGTGCTATCTATATATATTGCAGGATAAATGGCTGCCTACCACTATCTAATCTATGAGCATTATAATATTTTTGAAATGAAAAGGAGATGACCTAAGGCTTTGATAATATTCCTGTGGAATTAAACTAAAGATGATTTTAATGTCCCTAAAGGTCCTCATTTGTCAATCCATCAACAAAAAGTAAAAAAGTTTAGAATATCCAAGGTAAGGTTGCATAGACAAGTAATGACATGAGACAAGCATGTTCCCATGTTTACAAACAAGCCAACCAGGAGCTTAACAGTGCAGAGAAATCTGTACCAACTGAAGGCACTGAATTTTGGAAGAGTCAAACTGAGACTCAACTTTTTAGTGGACAGCGCCAAGCATCAGTCTTTTTTATCTGACACTTGTTGATGGAAAAGAAAATATACAGTTGAGGCTAACATCTGCGACCTCACTCACCATGAATTTATTTCCTTCATCCAAAATTTCTTTTTATTTTCCAACTTACGGCCACTGATTTCTAATCTTTTTCAACTCGTGGATGATTGACCAATGTACTAAACATTTATATTTTGCTCTAAGGTAAAAAAAAAAAAAAAAAAAACAATCACTCACTTGTAAATGTGATATGAATGAAAGATTTTAACTTCGCAAAAATATTTGCTAAGTAACAGTCTAACTCTCTGCTCTCGGGCGGAGAGGAACCCGGACAAGGCTCCGCCAAAGGGCAGAGTCTCGTTCGGGGTGGTTGACTGCCCCTGAACTTGTTTGTGCGGGTTCAAGGAGGGAATATTTTTGGCTGAGCCTACAGGCTCGGAAATCCCATGTTAAACCCCGCCTTGTGCCATATGTAACCCTTGTTTGGGGTGGCTAAATATTACTTGTAAATGTGATATGAATGAAAGATCTTCGTGTTACCATGGTGACAGAACAAATTTTATTCAGTGTATGTGCTCAAATGCAGTTTTCATTGATTAATTGGTCATTTCATTTCTTTCCAATAAAAGATTGAGAACAAAAGCATACGAAAGATCCAGAAAAATGTTTTCTATGTTTAAGGTAAGTGATAATTCCAAAACCAGCAATGAAACTTTTGTTAGATAATATACATGGATAACTCAATAGGAAAAAAAAATCACTAGGCAAAAAAACGCTGATGCAACCCAATTTCTATAGTTAAATACTAAAACATTTTTACAACTATTCAGTTTGAATCAAAGTATTTTTATTTTATCATTTCATCCCAAGCAAGACGATAAAGCCACTAAGACACAAGAGGTTACTGAGTGTTAGAGAATATAAGAAGAAAAACATACTATTAAGAAGAGAGAACAATAAAAGAACAGGAATTAAGACAGAAGATAACAATTGACCCTGCATTTAAATTTTTGAAGATCAAAGGATTGGGAAGGAAAAAGCCTGAAGAGAGTTCCACAAGCAAAAAGCCCGAGTGAGGAAACTGTTAACACAGAACCTATGGTTACTTATAGTAATTTCAACTGTGAAATGATGAGATCTAGCTGACAATTTAGTACTGCACTTAAATTAAGCATCAGTCTTTTTATCTGACACTTGTTGATGGAAAAGAAAATATACAGTTGAGGCTAACATCTGCGACCTCACTCACCATGAATTTATTGCCTTCATCCAAAATTTCTTATTTTCCAACTTACGGCCACTGATTTCTAATCTTTTTCAACTCGTGGATGATCGACCAACATACTAAACATTTATATTTTGCTCTAAGGTAAGAAAAAAAAACAACAATCACTCACTTGTAAATGTGATATGAGTGAAACTGTTAACACAGAACCTACGGTTACATATAGTAATAACTGTGAAATGATGAGACCTAGCTGACAATCTAGTACTGCACTTAAATTAAAAGTCTAGGTACCCTAGCAGAAAGTTCACCAGAATAATTATCATGAAAATATTTATATAAAAGGCACAGGGAAGTTATATAACAGTGGTGGGAAAGTGACTGAAGCCGAGATGCCAGGTCAAGAACAATAACATTGTAGATTTTTCAAGACTATAGGTCGGTCATCAAATTAAAATATACATATACACAAAAGAATTACTGAACAAATATGTTGGTTTTATAATAAAATTGCACTGATTACTCTAAATAAAGATTGGAAAAAATTAAAATTAATTAATTTAAACTTTCAGAATATTATTTAAATTCAATCTCAATATTCTTAATATTTAATTAATCAATTAATTAAAACTTTCAGAATATTATTTAAATTCATTCTCAGTTAAATGACAATTCTTAAACAAAGGCTAAAATTTCTGCAATGTAATAAACAAAGATGACAAAGTATGAAAACAGATTAACTGGGTGTAGGGAAGCCGTTTAACTAATTAATCAGCAAATGCTAATTAGACCAATTAATGATCATTAACCGATTAATTGGTGCAAAGCTAATTTATACAAACCATCTGACTTAAATCTTCAACTACCATCAGATGAAGGTGAAATGTGAATGCAAATGAACAAAAAAAAAAAAAAAAAAAAAATCAAAAGCCTATTTGGTAAAAATCAATATCTGATTAACAAGCAGGCATAATTGATTTTGTTGTTATATTTTCAAGTGGGGAAAGTATTAGCAACTGGGCTCATCATCACAGGTGAGCCAAGAAAGCTGAATTAAGAGAGATATAAAGAGAAGCTGTATAAAACCTGAACATAAAAGGTTAAGTGAAATACAATCAAGATGTCAGCGAGAAAAGAGGTCTTACTTTCAACAACTTCAAGGCACAAGAAATCTTTTTGTAGTCAATCAAAAAATTTAATTTTTCCTCCCTAATAAGTGATCATTTCATGGTTTTAATTAACAAGGTTTTGAATTTTGAGTTGATAATGCCACTAAGACGCAAAGGGTTACTGTGAGCGAAGGAGAATGAGAAGACTTTATAAGGAACCAGAAACACAATCCTAACCAGGAAACAAGGGAAAAACCTGTTCCTGTTTAATAGATAAGGAAAGTGAATATCATAAGGCATTCTAATTGTTATATTATGTTGTCCTTAGAGTATGTGTTTGGTCTATATTTGTGTGTGGTTGTGATTGTTTCAACAAAGGATGGAGTAGGCACCAAAAATCTCTCAAATAGATCACAGACATTGTACAAACAGAGTCCATGGTCTTTATTGACTTGATTATGCAAGTGTGTTCTTGACGGGTGGGATCAGAGTGTAAAGGATGTTGTTGATGTACCCCATTTGGACAAATAATACTGTGTACACCCTTCAGAGTATACAGGTTGGTAATCTAAGATTAAAACCCAGTCTCTTATCCCAAAAGTGGACAAAATCCTAGTCTTGTTATTAAAAAGTCTTGTATATAAAAAGAATCGAATTTAACATTGAAATTTCAAGGAACATTTAATTCAAATTTTAATGTCAAATTGAGATAATAATAATATATACATTTATATGTACAAAAAAGATCTATTTCTGTCAGCTACTTCATGAGTTTATGGTTTTGCTTTGTTTGCTATAGAAATGCATTGTAAATCAATCCAATTTCTATAAAACATTTTCTAACAATGCTATGGTCAGATATTAAAGATATTTCATAGGAAATCTTAGCATCCCATAAGATCTGACTTCATGTGAAGAAGTCCTTTAGAAGCGTGTTTTTTTAAAGTTTGCACCAAAACACAAACAAACCACAGAGATTGTTTACAAATATTATGCCAGATTAAGGGCTTAAATAAAGCTTTTATTCACAAAATAACCGTGGATTAGGTTTGTTCGTGTCCTGAATTAAGCTAAAATTGAAAAAAGATCTATTTCTATTGGATACTGAATGAGTTTATAGGTCTACTCTGTTTGCAAAAGCAATTCATAGTAAATCAATCCAACCTTTAAAAAACATTTTATAATAATGCTACGGTCACATATTTGATATATTTCATAGTTAGGGAGTCCTAGTATCCCATAAAACTTGACTTTATATGAAGAAAGACCTAAAAAGGGTGATATTTTGTCGACTTTGTTGATAAGAGGCTGGATTTTTGTCCAGTTACCACAGGTTGGATATCAGTTCATTAAGCTGATGAACAATTGGTTGATGTGTGTAAATTCCTTGGTTACATCTCTCAACCAACAGGTGAGAATCAATAAGACAGCATGCAGATGGTAATTACAAACTTTAATCCCATAGATATCCAGAAACTAAGAAGATTAAGTTATAGTGATAGCTGATATCTCTAGTTTTATAGGCAGTTTCCAAAGATTCTTCAAAGGTTACACCTTATGACCCTACTTAAACCAGTGTAGGTTGACACATCTGGTCATCCAATATGGTATTTCTTATATATATATATATATATATATATAAAATGGGAAAACCTAAAAGTTATCTTTTATAAATAAAAACACATTCAATAAATTACTCACTCACTGAAATTAGTTTTCAATTTAAAAAATGCTAATTTAATTAACAGGGAAAAAAAAATTTATGATGGTGAAAATGTATAGAAAGTGCACTGATTGCTAAATCATTCATGGTAAATTTGTGTCAAAGTTCCTACAACATTTCACCGTTCCTGCCAGATGTTCTGTTTTCACAATGTGGGATATTTAAAAACAACCACAACACAAAAGGAAAATGAATGAGATTGACTAGGCTGTGTATCTAGACACGTTGAATACCAAGTATTTTTAGACAAAAACTTACAACTTAAAAATTTAGCATTTCCACATTATTTACCCGCCCCCATAAATATATATTTTCATCAATGACAACATCACTTCAGTCCAATTAACACAGAATTTTTCCACTTTTTCATTCAATTACCTTATATATATATATATATATATATATATATATATATATATATGAAAAGTGTGTGTATATAAATATAAATAAATATATATATATAATTATTTATATATTATATGCACGGTACTTATTAGAAAGCGCTCAATATCAGAGATAGAGCTAACATACAGACTCACATCAATCCAACCAAATATATATATATATATATATATATATATATATATATATATATATATATATATATATATATAAATGTGATTCTCAGTCACAGTGCATTTCTTGCTTTATTTAATTGTAATATACAGAAAAATATTTGTGAGTATGAAAGGATTATGATCAAAATAAGCAGACATAATCTTTTTAATTTATTCAATCACCTAAAAGAGAATTTTCTGCTTAAATACACATACACACACACATATATATATATATATATATATATATATATATATAGCAGGTCTGATAAAAAAGTATTGGGACTATAAAGAGATAAAATACTATAAAAAGAAAACTACAAAACATCAATTCAGCATTTAATCTCCTTTACGTAGCCCCCTTCTGAAGCGACACACTTTATCCAAAATCATTAGAAGCATTTCTGGAACTCCTGTTTGGTAGTGAGCAGCTGCCTCATTGCATTCTCATGGATTTCCTCAACATCTTGAAATCTTGTTCCTTTCAAGATTTGATTTTTGGAAAGTAGAAAAAGTTGTAAGGGGTAAGATCTATGGAATATGGTGGTTGGTGGACCTGGGGAAAGTTTTTTTCTTGCCCAAAGATTGCTGCACACACTACGATGAATGGGCATATGAATTGTCATGGTGGAGTTGCCCCTCACTGGATGCATGCAATTCTATCCTTTTCCGATGAACAGCATCCTGCAAATGCCACAACACGCCACAGTAGTACTTCTTGTTTACTGTCTGACCAGGTGGAGCATACTCATGATGAACAATGCCCTTGTAGTCAAAGAAAACTTAGCATTGTCTACACATTGCTTCAATTCTTCAGTCTTGGAGTGGTTGGGGTTTTCCATAGCAAAAACGAAACTTTGGTTTCATAGGCCCACAATTCGTCACCTTTTATTCTCTGTTCAATTTCTCTGCCATGGTCACTGATGAACCTCTATGGTGTGGTGAGACAACTACACTCTACACACTTTCCTTCCAAGTATAGCTATAAACAATGGAAGTAACCTAGTGTGCATGTGCAACTGAGTTCAAGGTCAATCTATACCAAGCAGCTTCACTCTGTATACTTTAGCTCCTTTACCATAGCAAAAGTTTATATATATATATATATATATATATATATATTTATTTGGAGCAATAAAACTGAAAAAAATTGAAAAGAATGTTAATACACAAACTGGCCACAGTAAACAGATTAAAACGCAACCAAATAATAGGTTCATGATCTCTTGACCTTGATTTTGTATTGCCAGGTTCAAAAGGTCAATAAAGTCAATTCCTGAAACACTTAGGTGGTTGGGTGTAGATTTTCCCAGAATCAAAATCTGCTCCTAATCAGAAGAACTTTCTAATAGCTGAATAACGGAATGTATCAACAATCTCAGAAAGTTCTTGGAATATTCCAGTTATCTTACCTACAAATTCATCAGTATCTCCTGCAAACTCTGCATCACTATCTTCTTCAATCACTCCTGGAGTAATTGCAACTCCAGGATAAGGCTTGCCAAAATTTTCTGAAAATAAAAAGAAAAAGTCAAGATATATCCAGATTATGTTCAAGAACTGTGTCTGATTCCAAATACATTGGTTCAGACATTGTTGCTGACTTAAATTAACTGAATGAATAGCACATTTATATTGACTAATGATAACAGCTGAGATATGAAAGAGTTTAATAGTTATCAAGATGAAAAATGGGATTGGCAACATGACTTTGAATTTTACTTGAGGCTGCTTGTGTCCTCTAAACACTAATGCCCCTGTCTCTTCATTCTATTACACTGCCAGATATCTTTACAAAAATGTCTTCTTAACTTGCTGACTGATGGAGATAACTACCTTACAATTGTCAGTAGGAAACAGTAGAAAGCCATTGTCAACCTTGATGTTTTATATATATCAGTAATGATTCTAGTACACAAACTTCTTGGGCCCCAGCCCATATAACCTAATTGTTTTAGTCCATAAACCAATGTCTCAATAGAACAGAACTTTTGTTCGTGACTAGTGATAATTCATGATATATTTTGGTCTGAACTATTAAGAATAAAAACAACCTAAGTGATTTTGATCCGCATTTTTACAAGGAATATAGATTTGATTCAATTTCATAACTTTAAAAGTTGAGTTAAATAAATTTAGCACGTCATAATAATATTATACAAACAAAATTATATGAGGTCAACTTGGGCTCATTGAATTTATCCCAACCGAATGAAATCAACAAACACAAAACCTGAACAGTAAAAACCATTTACTAAACAGCTATAAGTGTAAACAACTGTGTCCTATTTTTCCTTTTTGTATTTAATCAATCAATTACAGTTTTTTTGTGTGAATAACAATTGTATAATACTTTTTGCATTGTTCTCTCTAATATAAACAAAAGAAAAACTGCATTTTATATATACAAAGTAATATTATAAATTAAGTGAATTAAAATATTACTTGTATTTTATTAAATAATTTTTCTTAGAATTGATCCAACAAGTCCGAATAATTATTATTTAGTCAAGACAACACAAGAACAAATCCCTTTATTCATTCAAATTTAAAATGAAAAACTAAATTTAAAACATTGCTCAATTTTTAAAAAACAATTTTTTTTCATTACGAAACAAATACTACTTAGGTTAAAAAAAAATTCCAGTACCATAAATCATACAGATGATTTGCAGCATCCATTTGATTTAAAAATCCTTAGTAAATGAGATCAGGTAGAATGATGATAACTTTAAAATGTGCAAGTTAATTTACTTCATAAAACGGGTTTCTTGTCTGCTATGTTTGAAACTGTTCATCCCATACAATTTTTCCTAACTATTGCTGTAACTTCCATTGAAAACGAAAAAAGCTCCTTAACTTTGGATAGAACCCAATCATTTTTATGACACACAATGGCCTAAGAACAGTTGTCTTCACTGGCATATATTACTATCAAGAAATACTTGTTGCTTTAGAATGAAAATAAGAATTACATGACAAAATATTAGAGGAATTTGCCTTTAGTTCTTATAAAAATTTATGCATTTTTATTTTTAATGTACTAGTGCAATACTGATTTTACTATAGAAAAGCACATCATGTGATTTTACTATAGAAAAAGTATTATCATGTGATTTTACTATAGAAAAAGTATTATCATGTGATTTTACTATAGAAAAAGTATTATCATGTGATTTTACTATAGAAAAAGCATATCATGTGATTTTACTATAGAAAAAACATTATCATGTGATTTTACTATAGAAAAAGCATTATCATGTGATTTTACTATAGAAAAAGCATATCATGTGATTTTACTATAGAAAAAGCATATCATGTGATTTTACTATAAAAATGCATGAAGGATGAAAATGAAAGAAGGAAGAAATTTTGATTTTCTAATATTCCCCACATGACTAAATATAGTTATTGCAGTTCACCATGATATTGTTTCTTAAATAACTATAAATAAACTTTCAGTCATGTAAGATGGTTAATATATTCAAATTTGAAATCAAACATTGAAAACTACATGCTAAAAATGGTTTTTCTTTTTACACTAAATGTATGACTGCAGGTTAAAAAGATGTCAGATAAGTTATAATACCCACAAGCCTTACTTATGGTAGTAGTTGTATTTTGACAAATTCTTCAGATAAAGGGAAATAACCATGTTGATCTTCATAGAAATGACTTCTTGTACAGTAATGACAGATTTCTTCAATTGTAATTAGATGCTCAAGTTCTACTGAATATGGCAAATTATAAAAATTGTACTCAACCTGAATAACATTATTCATCGAGGTAATATAAAATGTAACAACCAGCTGAAATACTGTTTTTGGTTCCTTAGAATGGAAACAAAGATTCTAAAACCATAAATTGAGTCTGAATAATGAAAAATAGACAAATAACACAACTCTCTGAAATTACTATTGGCAGAAAAAAAAAAGTAAAGGAGTTCTTTGTGGGGAAATGGTGGCAAGAACTAAATCATATACCAGAAAGGACAAAAGACATAATTTTTGCCTTTTGGTGAAACTTATCGTACTACAAAATATAGATAATCCAAATGTATTAAATACAAGTATTGAATTGTTACCTGTAGTTATACACTATTTACATTCTTCTTACTATTGTCCTCATCACTGTTGGCATATTCACAATAATCTGAAATTTTATATATAAATACATACATATATATATATATATATATCTATATATATATATATATTTGAATAAAAACAGACCACTTTAATGTTCCATGTAATAAATTATTTCACCACAGCCCTTTTAAAGGGCTCTGGATCATCAGACTTTACTTCCAAAGGTTGAAATGAAAACTGAAAAGAAATTTACACATTTTTGACAGGCCGTATTAAGCATATGTAAATTAACGAAGTGAGGAGGGAGAGAAGACATGAGTGAGTTAGATGTACCATTTCAATTCTTTATCCTTAAGCTCACTTGGTGTGGGCCAACCATCGTTTAACTTAACGTATGTTATCTCTAGATATAGATGGGTAAGGGGTGGAGAAGAAACTTTTCATTTTTCATTTCAACCTTTGGAAGTAAAGTCTGATGATCCAGAGCCCTTTTAAAGGGGTTGTGGTGAAATAACTTATTACATGGAACCTTAAAGTGGTCTGTTTTATTCAAATTTATTTGCTCTGAATTTACATTGAGCTCTCTGGATATCATCCTCCTTGGGTCTACCCATAAGGATTACCTAGTTTTGCATAAACTAAATATATATATATATATATATATATATATATATATATATATATATATTTCTATGGAGATTTTTAGCTCAAACAAAATATATCAACCGTAATATAAATGAATCTAAAATCTTTTGAACAAAATTAGTCATTTTGAAATCTTCAGTATTTCTGTAGGGCACTTCTTTATCTAATGAAGGCCAGAAGAAAAAAACTGATTTTAATAGATGATCATCTCTAACATTTGTTTGGTGTATAAATTGCCTCTTAGAGTGACACATATTTAAATTTACAAAAAGAAAAAGTATAGTAGTCAATATGAAAAAATTCCATTTTCACCTGACAAAATAGTTAAAACTAGCAGTAGAGCCCGGCATTACCCGGGGATATAACAGTAAGAGATAGATCAAGTATCAATCATCATAAAGACTGAAAAATAAAATTGACAAAGATTATTGTTTAAGGTTGACGGACACACGTCTTAGTTTTTTTTTTTTTTTTTTTTACGAATTGGTCAAACCCAAACAAAAACATTGTTTTCAATCGTTATGACTCTACCGATTGAATAGAATTTTATTATAAACAATTGTCTTGTAAATGGAATTTTTAAAGCATTCTGAATGTAAAAATAAAGAAAAAAGTGTGCAAGACAATAAGAAACTCTACCTGCCAAAAAAGAGTGAAGTTTTGTTGAAATTGGTTGAAAAATGTAGGAAATCCGATCCCATATATAAACGAACACACACACACAAACAACCTGGGTTTTATAATAAGTATAACTCGATATGAGTTGTCCCCCTTCCATTCTGGCAACAGAATCCTGTTTTATCTTGTTTTTAAATTAGTTTCATGCAAAAGCAATTGTGTTTTTCCAATTTTTGGTGCTGTCAGAACCACTGCAAGGTAATTTTACACAGTCCTGTGAAGTTTTGTTGAAATCGGTTGAAAAATGTAGGAAATCCGATCCAATATATAAACGTACAGACACACACACAATCTGTGTTTTATAATAAGTAAGATTTAATAAATACCAAGTTGAATGGGATGCTCAAAGTAGCACTGATATGACGATTTACGAATGAGAAATTATTGCGATAGAAATTCTTAAATTCTTACCTGATACATCATCCTCGTTCATGTCATCTCTCACTTTCTGCAATTGTTTCTGCTTCTCCTTCTCAATCCTTTCATCTTTTTCTTTTAACAATTTCTCATACATCGGACGATATTCACTGCAACAGCAAAAACATTTTCTAGCATCATTTCAAACCTTTTGTAAAACTCATAAAACAACACTGATAAGCTCTTCAACAGGTCAATGTGGTGATAAACAGAATCTGAGGTCATTTCCAACTCCTTATTTAAACTTCAGTACTCTGTATTATTCCAAAGGGCGGGTTCTTTCCATTGAAAATTTTTTTTTATCAAGGACCCACAACTGCAGTAGCTCTGTTATTGGTTTTCAGTTAAGATCTTTTTCTGTTATCATAGCAGGATACAACACCACCACTGAAAAATTCCAAAATCTAATGTTCAGCGATTGAAGTAACTTGCAGTAGTAAGAGAATCCTTCGTGGTGAAGGACGTTAACTACAAAGTGCTAAAAGTTAAACCAAGTGTGTTGTCTCTCTCTCTCATATATATATATAGATAGATAGATAGATAGATAGAGAGAGAGAGAGAGAGGGGCAATGTGGAGTAATGGATAGCAGCCCGAATTGAGGAATCGGAGAGACAAGTTCAAATTCCAGTTGAGTTCATTACATTCACTTACATTAATTTGGGAAAGGTATGAATCCATCTTTTCTCACCCCCAGCTATGGGTAAAGAGCAGAACAGACTGGGTCCTATAGCTTTGGGTGACAAACGGTCTAAGAGAAGAATAACACTGAATTAAAAAAACCCATGGAGGGTCAGTTGCAGACCCTGTGCACCAGGTCTCTGTATTCGGCTCTTATAAAAAGTGTGATTGGTTCTGCACAAGCCTTCACCACTATAATCAATTTGTGCAGGTAGTCTGCCTGTTGGTTCTAAGAACTAAGCTGCTTAACCCTCATGTTAAAAATGATGAGAGAGTCGATACATATACACACGTGTATATATATATATATATATATATATATATATATATATACACACACTTTATTTTAGGTTATTACATCAAAACATGTAAAAAAAAAAAAAAAACGCTACATGAATGCAATCATGTTTCGATGTGTATTAACATATCTCATTGGGCGTTAGTCTTCGATGTTGATGTAATGGAATATGCATACACCTGAATTCCCCCCTCACTGGAATATGATTGGCTGGTGTCCGTCATAAATACAGACAGACATGTAGATATGACAGAGTTTAAGTCTACGACGATGCCCATTGGACTACACCATTGCCTATTCTATTGGTCTACACCTAATACCTGCGACTATGACGAGTATCAGTTGATTACTGCTACCGTGTACTACTTGGTTACAGTAGCCAAACCCACTTAGCTACTTCGATCAAATATATCTCTTTCCGGGACATATCAGACACTAGTTTTCAATGTGTATTAACACATTTCATCAGGTGTTAGTTTTTTTTGTTTTTTTTTCTTACATGATTGCATTCGTGTAGCGTTTTTTTGCATGTTTTGATGCAATATCCTAAAATAAAGAATATTGCTCTACTGTTGTATTGATGTCTCTTTTAAATTAAATTTTACAAACATCAGAATTGGATTCAATGCATTCTTATTTCAGAAGGAGATAGTTTGTTAATTGTTCCATAAACATGCCAAACTCATAAATTTTATGCCAACATATATTGGTGGATAAAATTAACTTAATCACCTTAACTTTGAAATTGAACAATACAAGGATAATCTGAAATCCAAACTGACAATATTCTTCAATCCAGGTACAGGGATTTAACAACATATATTTTCATTGGAAATAAAAGAAGTCATCAAATGTTTAGATGCCATTATTTTGAAAAGTGGCATTAAAAACCTGACAGCACTTACCGTTCATATTCTTCAGCTGCTTCTCCAACTAGATCAAGGAATTCTGGTAATCCTTGTCCAGTCACAGCAGATACCCCAACATTCTAAAATGGCAGATATATTTTGGATTAAAGAAAATGTTATTCTAAGAATGACTATTCCATTATTTTCACATTCACAGTATTTGGTTTCATAAAGTCTCTGATCACCAGCAGGTTACCCAGGATAAATTTACCTAACTGATGGTTCCATAGAAAAAGGTAATTTTTGATTGGTTTCAAATTACTCACCCACTGGACAGTTCTCCACAGAATGGATACACTTGTAATAAGTGAGATTTATTGTATGAATTAAAATAAAAAGTAAAGTAACATTATTGGATAAAAAATAACTAAATAACAAATAAAATACTTATTTACATTTGGACTGATGTACACACCTTTATTGTTGTCATATTTTGGCTGTTGTGCCCTCTGGCCTTCCTTAATTCCCTGTCAGTCTAGGCTGTGGATTAACTCATTGGTTTGTGAATTTGAGAGCAGAGTAATTGCAAATTAGGTACAGTGGAAACATGGTGAGCAGTAACTGAGCAGTACTAAAAGGAAGATTAGATATTCCTAGACATGGACAGCAGAACAAGAACAATATACCCCTGTAGATTAAATAAAAGAGTTCAATTTCAAATTCCATAAAGCTTACCAAGATCAGCAGATACCTGAAGAAGGCCACAGGGCACAACAGCCGAAACATTGTGATAACAATAACAAAGATGAGAACATTAATCCTAGAAATTAGAACAAAAACTAAATTGCTTATACAAAGAAAATTATTAAAAATGATTTATAAATTATTATTTTATGTAAAGTTTGGCTTATGCCATTGCATGTGAAAATACCAATGTCATAAAACAGTCTCATAAGTCTGTAGTCAAAATTACTAGCTGGTGTAAATCAAAGGGGGTGGAGGGATTTAAAATCTGTATCCACAACACACAACTGCCTACTTCAATGAAGAACAGAGAAAACACTGCTGTGATCCACTATTGAGATAAGAAATGCTGTGATTAGTTGATACTGGTAGGTAAGTGAAAAAATTACTATATTACCGATCTTGATTTTCTTTCTCAACAAACAGCACAGAGAATGCAAATTCTTTTTCAGGGTTAAGACTTGGTTTTATCTTTCATCGCTACACATTCTTTACAAAGTTTTTCTTTCAGCTGCTCCACTTACATAGATTATTTGTGCCAACAAAACAAATGACATTTTTCTGTAACTTGTTTGCATCATTGATCACATTACTTTTGTTGTTACCAAATCTGTTTTATAGATTTCTTTGGATATAAGGAGCTGGTGAAAGATCTTGTCTTGGCATGGAAGCCAACAGACAAAATGGTGGCAAATATATTAATAAGACCGTCTTATTTGGCCAAACTTCATATCAATGTGTGACAATTTCCATATTTTTCTTTTTGCTAAGCAAAGAAATCAAATCCACACTGGCCTGGTATTTATTTGGGCTTATGGCCTTGTCATTTTGAAACACTGGCTCTTATCTGATCACCAAAGTTAAGTAACATTGAACCAAGTCAGTAAATAGATGGCTGACTGCTTAGGAATATTAGATGCTGTAAAAGCTTGGATGTGCAGGGGGTGTAATGGACAACAGCTTGGAATGAGAAATTCCAGAGTCAAGTTTTAATTCCAGTCTGGTTTGTTATATTCATTTATGTGCAAATGCCCCTGGGAAAAGTACGAATCCACCTCTTCTCCTCCTAGCTATAGGTTAAATAGTAAGACTTGCATCAGAAAATTATTATCACCAAAACATTCTTACAATCCCAAAATATGTTCCAGCTTTAAATAACCTTTCAAAAAAATAAAAAATATGTTGAGAAGCCGTAAAAAAAAAAATGAATCAAATGATATTTATTTGCAAGGCTAATATATGCAATATGCATTATTTCACACTCCAGATGCTCCTATCTATTACTTGAAACTTAACGAAGAATGGATCATATAGTGTGATCCCCTCTCTGCACATATACAGTTTAACACAAGATTTTTCTACAATTCTTTGGCTATGATCTTCCATTGTTTTTGAGTTTATTGATTTTCAGGCTTGGTTTCTTATTGTTGTTTGCCACATTTGTATGAAAAACATTATAAATGCTATCACTTTTCTCATCCTTTGGAGAGATTGAACCTTTGACACAGGGGTGTAAAAAGTGTAAGCTTTGTTAAATTTAACTTGATCTTATCAACATTATCTATTTCATATACAAGTTACCTACAGAGTGCTAAAGCTTAAAAAGGGCTACTGACATCTTGGAAACACAAATGCAATGATTGTACACTGAAGTAAAACATTCTTACCCTAAGATTGTTGTAAAATTCATCTAGGACAAGACTCATAGAACGCGTCAGATTGGAAACATATGAGGTTTCATTCTCCAGGGCATCTTGGAAGGCTTCAAAGTCAGTCATCCACTCGACAGCAAAATCACTGCTTATAATATCAATCTGTACAATAAAAACAAAGTAAAGATTAATTAAGCCTCCATTACTACACTTAGATACTGTCACAGCATTTCAAATTTAAAATATTAGAGATATATCAATTAGTTCTTAATTTTCTTGTTATATATTGTCATATGTGTTCTTTCTGGTTTTTGTAAAGTAAATAAAAAAAAATAAAATGGTTTTATTTAAAAAAAAAAAAAAATTAAATTAAAAGGTCAATTAAGTTTCAAAAATTCAAACATGCCAAAACAGATTTCATTTTATTTTCAGTAAACAAATAAAACTACTTGTAATCCACACAAATATTATGATTAAAACCAGAAACTCCTTATAGTTACTTGACAAACATATTCATAAATGGTAACAGTAATATTAGCTGTTTCCTTATAAGGAAATATTCAGCATTCATTGACCAAGGAACCAGTACAACAATTTTTCAGGAAAATACAATTTTCAACTCCAGTAGCTGTTATCACTCTCACCATTACTGATGAGGGTTTACTGAAAGCTTTTTGACTAATCATAAACATTTGAGTTGTCACTTAGAAAAATCTTTTTTGAAGGGTACAAACACCTCACAATATAAATGGACATTTAGGAAATTAGATTATCAAGAACAAATGAATAAAAATACAAAAAAGTATTTTCACTCTATATATTAATATGATAGTTAAAATTAATACCTGTCACTTATAATAAAATTGTAGTAATGTTTATTTAGACTGTTAAATAAGCAAGTTTGGGGTTTTCCTGTTGAATGAGTGAATATAAAATGAAAAAGTTGATATTTTATTGTGGCTGCTGCATTAAACAGAATAATAAAAAGAAGAGTAGAATATTTTTGAAGGAAATTAGCAAACACTTTTTATAATGACAACTGGAAATAAAAAAAGAAATTTTCAATGGAAAAGCAAATGTATCTGCCATTTTCCTTTATGCTGTTTGCCATGATAAGAACTACATGTCCCACTTATGATAGCATGGATGATTAAAGGAGTGCAGAGTTGCCTGCCTTTGCCCAAAAGCTAAATAGGGATCATAAGACTTTTCCTTTGAAGAAGTGTTGGAAGATATCAATAAAATTGATTAAAAGATTTTCTGGTGATTTCAGCTATAATGAGAGGAAGTTGTATCTTCTTTGATCCCACAGACATTCAGAGAACAAGACTGAACTGATGTTAAGGATTTGTAGCAGAAGAATGTATGGAAGCTAAAAAGTCACAGGCTTTAGAAAAGAATCAAACATCACATCACACTCTCAAAAAAACATCTTCACCTCCAAAAGCAACAGCTTAGAAACAGTTAAGACACATGATTAGTCAAATAAAAATTTGCATAAGCTGCCAAACTCTTTATGAAAGCAAACTTCTGGGTTTTTCTTTTTCAATCTTCAGCAGAGAATACAAGCAACACATGGACATTTCACTGAGCAATATAAGCTACTATTTTCTTTGCTACAAGATTGTCACAAGAGTTCTAAGAAATAAAATAAAAAGGAGTATTTGCATTAACCCAAATCTGCAAGGAATAACAATTGATACACTAGCAAGGATGAAATCAGAGAGTGATTGTTGATGTAACTGATTTGGGACAAAATGTAGTGAACGAGTTTACCATTTTAAAAAAAACATTGAGAGTAACTGGCAATAATGTTTAATTTGTTTGTCTTCGTGTTTTGCACACAAAAGTCAAAAGTTAGGTTTCATTTTTGATGTTGTATTTCAAAAATTTCAGGTGTCAGGCTGCACCTTCTCTACAAATTGGACAAACATTATAGTTGTTCTTGCAACAACACATGATTTCTCGTCATCTCTTTAATTCCCAAACTAGACAATTAATACTCTATCACATGCCAATGCACTTTATAAATAATGGCATGACATTGGTATGTACTCAAACAAAATTCAAATTTGAAAATAATAGTTTTATAGTAAACACTTGTTTTTTTGTCACTCAGCAGAGAAGTAAGAGGATTTTGCAAGCAGTACAACTGGTTTGATTAAAAGCAGTATCAACAATATTTTGTGCAAGTAAATAACAGGAGTAAGGAAATAGAATGAATTTCAACGAGGCAATATTTTATATTTTGGTTTTTATATGACTGAGTAAAAAGAGAGAGAGAAAATACACTATTATGCATGCAAAAGAAAGAAGTCATTACAAGTGTGACTAATACACGTGTGTAAAAGTTCAGTCACTAAGGGGAAAGATGCTCAGGAACAAGGTTGCATGGATGTCATTGATAGAGCATGTTGGATGGAAAAGAAAAAGAGAATGAAGACAAGAAGTGTCCAGTTTTTTATAGCTACTTGACAGTTCTCTCTAACAACCTTTTGTCAAAGATATGTGGCGATAACTTGCAGTGGTTCCCAAATAGCGTTGTGTGCCAGAAGAGAATAGCATGTGAGGTGGAATGATTGAAAGACAAATCAAAGATTTAGAAACAGTTTCAAAAAATCCATATGCCAAAAATAAATATGATTCCAAAATTTAAAATATTATTATGGATAACTTATAATTGCTTGCGTGAGTCCCAGTATAAATAGTTATGAATAATAATTGATCAATTTTATCATTTTTGCATTATATCTAGTATTAACAATATAGTAATACTTTCTGCAAATTGGAGGAGAGAGTTATCAATGATAATGTTCTGACTTTGAATTCACAGTTATCTCCCTTTAATACTCTTTCAGGTTTTTTTTTAAATGTACTTATTATCACATAAAATTTGGTGAGAAAGAGCAAATTTTCATTCTGAAAATGTGGCCCAGAGAAAAAAAAAGTTTGGAAATCACTACAATCCCAGAGAGTGTAATGTGTGGGAGGGTTATCTTGGGAATAGAGAATGGAAATGATTCAAAATGATAAATAAAGAATGAATTGAAATTCTTTAGGGTTGGAACATCCAGTTTCTTATAAATCAGGGAACACAAATAGATTGGGCAGGTATGAATGGACAGAAAACATCACTGATTGATGTGAATAGAATGGCTTAGTTAAATAGTTCAATATTTGACTTACTTTATTCATGACAAGGATGAATGGCAATTTGGTCTTGTAGAGAATACTGCAAGCGTAAAGCATATTGGACATGAATGTCACAGGACTGACACTTCGGGAAATGTCCATAACATATACAATGACTGTAGGGAAAGTTGAGGCCTGTGAAAAAAACAAAAAAAAAAAGCAAATAAAATTTTAAATAAATAAAGGGAAAGGTGTTTCTAGAAAGCAGTGCACCCTATCAGGTATTATTTGTACTCATTTTTGGCAAAAATAATTAACTGGAATCGACTGTAGCAATAGTATTATATTATCACATGTGACAAGGCATATTGGGTAGTGTTTGTCTTCATTTGGAATTATATTAGATTTATTCACTGTAGATTTATTGTTTTTGTATCAGCTGTTTTTTTTTTTTACAAGCCTGTAGGCATGCACGAAGCTCAATGCTTCTTATTTCTCATCTGAGCTTGAGACCAGCTATGATGACTGACAAGCTGTACCTTTCTAGAGTTATCTTCCCTTAGTTGAACTACATTACAGTGCTAAACAGCTCTGACTAACTATTTATCCATAGCTGACATGATCGTAGTCTTCTATGTGGATTGGCGATCATGGCTCTCCACAATTAACTGTCTCTTTCGTTTCTATTTTCTCTAAAATTTTCTATGATAACTGCCAAGCTGTGTTTTCCAATCAGAGTTATCTTTCCTTAGTTGAACTACATTACAGAGCTAAACAGCTCTAACTGATCAACTATTTATCCATAACTGACAGGGTCATCGTTTTCTATGTGCATTGGTAATCATGGCTCTCCACAATTTCCTGTCCTTTGTATCTCTTAATAAATTTGATATCTCTTCTAACTCTTGTTCTGCCATCCATTTTTCTCAAGCTCACTAGGTAGGTTATGCCTTGTTTTTCTCTCCTCCTCTTGCCTTCAATCTGTCTTGTGAGTATCAGATTTTCCAAACCCTCTTTTCTCATTGTGCGCCCCAGAAATTTCAGCTGTCTCTTCCTGATGTTAAGTACAAATATTCTTTTTGTTCCATTTTCTCTAGAACTTTGTCGTTGCTCATATGTTTGGTCTATGGTATTCTCAGCATCCTTCTGTAGAACCACATTGATTGTTGCATCAAATCACTTCTTCATCTGTGGAGAGATTCTCCAGCATTCACTGCCATATAGGAGGATTGATATCAGGTACTCTTTTTTGTTTCTAACAATTTTTTTTCTGTTTCTTAATACTTTGCTTAGTTTTTGGAAGGCACCTTTCACTATCCCAATGCGCCTTCAGATTTTGGTCCGCCACTTTCCATCCTCTGTTAAAATCCATGCCAGTTATTTAAATTGTTGTACTTGTTTGATTTTGGTATCTTCAATTTGCATGTTGGGCTGTTCCTTTTGTATCAGTCATCTTGCAATTGATGTTTAGTCCTTTCTTCTGATTTTCTTCCACTTTTCTTCTGTAGGAATTATTGTAGTTTCCTTTCTGTACTTGTTTTCAACACTGTCATCTGCATATATTATTAAGATTGAGGCTCCAAATAATAAATCTTGGTTGGACTTCTAATTCTCTCAGAATCATCTTACTGTTAAAAGTTGAATAAGTCAGGTGAGAAAATATCCTTTCTATTTTTGTATATCTACTGAATTTATTTTCTATCTGGACGCATGCAGTTTACTGCCAGTATAGGTTGTAGGTTATTCTAATGTCCGTCTCAAATATGTCAAGGTTGCCTAGCAGTTCCATGTTCTTTGTGATGTACTTTATCAAAGGCTTTTGCATAATCTATGAAACACAGGTACACATCCTTCTGCATTTGTAGCTGACAAGGTAGAGAAATGAATTGGATTCATACTTTTCCAAATAACACAAGCAAACTAAATGTAAGCATCCCCCGGCCAAAACTTAAACCCCATTCACAATGTTTTCCATACCAATAGCCATTAGATTGAATGTTTAAAAAAAGACCTGCAACCACATAGCCTCAATTTGGCCAACATTCCTTTGATGGGATGCAGAAGTGAATAAACAGTTTTTATATATATATATATAAAAATGTAATCCCATATTCTTATAAGATGTTACTAACATTACATGTGTGTTTATGTTTCTTGAAGGTATGGTGACCAAAATGGGAGAAGCCTATTCTAAAAAGTAGTAAGGAAAAGATTTCTACATTGTAGGTTTCACCATTGTTGCATGAGTCAATCGTTTTCAAGAAGGTGCAAAAAAAAATTAAAATGTCAGCTATAGACAACAGTATATCAAAAGCTGAAGCTAACCTAGTGTTTTTTTTTTTTTAATTTCTTTTGACATTGTAATTGCCTGGATGCAACAAATCACAATTTAAAACCTAATAAATAATTGTTTTTCAAATCAACCTACTCACCAATGCTTCAGTGATAATACTACCAGAAGCTGACCATGTGAATACTTCAATTTGTCCAGGGGTATCAAATATAACATATCTACAAAGGAAAGCAAATACTTTTTTTATCAACAGTTTAAAGGACAAGGTTTTCTAATAAAATGGACGACAAAGGAAACCTCAAAGTGAAAACTAACTTTTTTAAACCCACAGAAAATGCAAAAAATAAGAGCATACAATGAGCAGCAGATTTTACAAGCGGTTATAATTTTCTACTTAGGTTATTTTCCCTGAATGGATAATCTCCCTTGAATAAGCAAAATTTGTTATCAGGATAAGAATTCATTTGCTACACGATATTTATTTTAATTAGGGAAACTTTAAAGATTTTTCTTTTTAATCATTTCACCCCAAGCAAGGGTTTCTGAGTGTAAAAGAAAACATTATTACAGAAAGAGAACAATAGAAGAACGAGAATTAAGAAAATGATAATGATTGATACTGCATTTAAATATTTTTAAGATCAAAAAAATAGGAAGCCAGCAGAGAATTCCACAACTGAGAAGAGTGAAAGAAGAACACAGAAGCAGACCTATAACAAAAGTAAAAAAATAATATATCCAGAATTTTCTGAGTACTGTTTTGGACAGTCTCCTAAAAACATGGGATGCAAGTTCAAAACCACTTAATTTCCTCATTACATTGCTTACATAATGATCATAGAATGTAAAACAAACTGAGTGTTGCAATAAAAAAAATAAGATGGAAGATTAAATAAATTTACTTTATACTTACTTGCATTCAGAGGATCTTTTTTCAATAAATTTCATCACCTGTTGAAAAACAAAGAAAGAATAATATCAAAGGAAAGACAACTGCTAAAAATTTAAAATTTCTTGGAGTGTAATAACCGATTTTGAAATCTGTTCAAATGCAATCAACTCTGTTCTCTGAAAATATTTGCTACATTTTTTTTTAGTGTATAAGACACAAATTTCTTATAAAGTTCAAAATTATTTTCAGAAGAAAAATATGAAATAGCCCTGGATGATATATAATAGCTTATCTAAACATTCAATACATGATGCTTAGCATCTGCATTATTTTTTGTTTTCTTTACATATAAGAGAATGTTAAACACTTATTTTGATATTTTAAGGAAAAAGGCATCTTATACACTGAAAAAGATACCTTTTCTTACAGGTGTATCAGAT